ATCACGTAAACAAAGAATGTATAGTAAGTATACAGAGAAAAATCTCTACCTGCTACAAATAGTAGCACTCAAACTCAAAGTCATCATCTGGGTCAGGTTCAGATAGACCTCGTCCTCCCTCCTTAACAATTATTTTTAATTAGGGCTTGAGTTGCTGTTTTAATTTTTTTTTAATCAGTCCTTTTCAAGACCATGCCCTTGGATGTGTATCTTATGGCCAGTATAGGTGAAGCTGGTATTGGGCCCATGGATGTGTGTCTTATGGCCGGTATAGTAAAGCTGGTATTGGGCCCATGGATGTATTCCTGTTATATCACATATTATACACTTATTCGTAAGCCCTAAGATATCTGTTAAGTAAAACAAGTAAATAATCACCCAATACCAGCTTTACCATAAGACGTTCCGTAGTAACAGTATGCTTGTGTGTCCGTGGCTAAGTCGGCCTTGCATGGTCAGGTGGTTAAGGCGCTCGACTTGCAAACTGAGGGTCGCGGGTTCGAATCCCCGTCCCACCAAACTGGCTCGCCCTTTCAGCCGTTATAATTTACGTTCAGTCTCACTATTCGTTAGTATAACAGTAGTCCAAGAGCTGGCGGTGGTTGGTGATGACTAGCTGTCTTCCCTCGTGTAGCTTTGCGCGAAATTCAAATGAAACGAAACCGTGGCTAAGCACACGGGAAACAGAAACAAATCCCAAAGTCGAGGCAATCAAAAATGGATTCATAGATTCACAGCACAATAACCCCCAAAACAGTTCTCTTTATAGAAATAGCTAAAACACACTTTTGGTGTTAGCACGTGATTTAGACCAAATCACGTGACGACTAAACATTTTAAGATACGGCTCGTGACGTTTTTATCACAACAGCACGGTTGTAGAGAAATACGTACCTACTAATAATGAAATTAAAGGCATAGACTTCACGCGATAGCACGTGGTTAGGGACAAAATTATGTGCTTACTAATAATACAGTTAAGAGATCCACTACACGTGGTTAGAGACAAAATTAAGTGCCTACTAAAATATTTGATTACGAGACAGAAACTTTCCACAGATACGAACGGAGATCTAAAACCCAAAAATACAAGCAGACCGAGAACGGTGTAATAATGACCAGGTTTCAACGTAGAAATAATTTCACTTTTTTGTTGTTTTTGCTGCTAAAACAAGAGTTCTCAATCTTCATAAGAATAATTTTGTTTACACACACACACAATTATAACTTTTTTTCTTCCATTTTTCCAGAAGTATCGTCACTAATTCACTAAATTAACCAAGCAACTAATAGTTCTTAAAGTATCGTTTCGTTGTAGTTATTAAAAAGGCGTACCAATGTGATATATACACGGTTATAATATGTAACAAGCGATGCGAATACTGGATATAACATAATACAGAGACGAGGCAGGCGACTAGCGAGAACGTGCAATAAACCGACAACTTGAACGAAGCCTAACCGTTTCCATGGTGTAGGCTGGCGATGAGTCATAACAGCATTAACCTCAGTAATGGTTGTAATTCTGACGCTGACAACAGCTGTCCAGTTCCTTTTCCTGACTGCAAATTTTTATGAAGAAGCGGCTCTTTTAAAGTATAACGAGCAAGCCAATTGGTCAGTTTAGTAACTTATATTTTTATTACCCTTTCATCCTCCGAGATCATATATTTACGCCATACATCGTCGGCACACATTCCACAGGATCACCCTGTCACTTATATCTTCCTCAACTCCTGACCGTGAAATATATCTGTACACAGACACCGACTTTCTCAGATAACTCGAGACCGTTCTTTTTTCCTATAAGAATCTGACTGTGCACTTTTGAAGGTCTGTTCTTCGTGTACATGTAGAATATACACTGCGTCTTAGCAGTCTTTTCTGTTTGAAATACAACGGTCACGTGACAAAGCAGCCACGCCCACAATATCTTGATTGTGACAATTTCACCCGACAGACCAAAAACTGCACGTGATTTGAATAAGCAAGCATTTTTGAATAACCCCATTTATGGCAAACACAATTAAGACGGTTAACTCCGTCGAAGTGAGTCAATTATAACATTTCGAAATTAAAATAGTGTGTTTTTAAAACGGTTTTTACGGGATAAAAATCTAGGTCCAAATAAAACAAATATTACATCCAACTATCGAATGTAATTCTGTGATAAATAAATTGTTAAATCAGCAGAAGATGGTAAAATTTTAAACTTGGAGTCGAGCGATATCAAACCCTCAATTTCCACACCTTCTGAAATCGTGCAATCTATACCAACCTTTTAGATCCCGCTAAAATTTACAGTGTATAATTCTGAATTTTATACGGAGTTTGAACGCGCTCGGAAGAAATTGATACTTCCTCTCCTGTATATAAAAACAAAATAAATTGAGACGTTTAATTTGTTAGAACAGAAGTCCTGCAAGAATGGTCACAGATCTACAAAGTGTAATTATAATATATTCTAGCTGGTGTCGAGGTGACTTATCTATCCTGAACATAACTATTGCAGCACGTTGTCTTTAACAGACTTATCTCTGTGCTATGCGGAAAAAAATAAACAACAAAAAAAATCTCTGGATGGCTCATCGAGCACCCTATGACCAAAGAAGGCAACGCCCTTGAAAAAAAAAAACGGAAAGACAGGCCCGACTCTTCTCAACGGAGTACTGACGAATGCGTGCTATTCACGCAAACTGAGAAGATAAAGCGAAAAATCAGTCGACCGTTGGAACCTTTTGCTTGGAGTAAAACGGCGATTTTTTTAATAACCACTTAGATAATAAAGTTAATCTGCTCCTAAGTACGCCATCTATACCGAATACTAAAGAAATCACTTACTCAAAATATATATTAATTATATTTCATCTAAATTTATCGCACAACCCCGTATTTTTAGGCTTAGGAATAAACGCGCTACGCTCTGTCAGTAAATACTAAACACAATACAGACGGCGTTTACTGTCATAACATATTATGGCATGCATGGGCAAGAGAAAAAGGGCTCCCGAACTCCACCAGACCATACTTTTTATAAATTATGTCCTTTGTCATCAATCAAATCCATAATAAAACTCACCCTTAGGAATATCAATATGATGAAACCGATAAAAACACGAAACCAAAGTAAAAGCAGCAAATAAGGAAAATAAATACATCGCACTAGATCTGTGCTTTCTCCAATAGAGGGCTTAATTTTTTTCCTCAAAATAAAAGGCTAAAATTATAAAAATGACAAAATAATTAAAATTTAATCAACATAATAAAACTCAATTACCAACAATTTTCTGGTAAAAGCGTCATATAAAGACATTCCTGCAAGAATTTCAACAAAGAACACAATTCAAATTTTTTTTGTTGCTGTTCTGGGGTCTCTTAGGCCGTGAGCCCAATATATAATCCGGCTACGCTATAACAACATTTTAGGCTTAGACCAACTTTATCTTACTTCCTGTAAAGCGAATTTCCTACACATCGCGAAACTTGCACGAACCTACATGTCTAATTCACGTGCTACGACAACTGTACGTATGTATACAAATAATAAATAAATAAATAAATAAAGCCATTACCTTTAAAAGTCAGCTCAAAATAAACACTTCATGTCCATAGATGTAACACCACACTTACCGAATTTAAAACTTCAGTCGAGAAAATAAAACAATACTGAACAATAGATTAACAAAAATGATTTAACGGGCTCTGAACGATAGATCTAACAATACTGATTTAACGGGCTCTGAACGGTAGATCTAACAATACTGATTTAACGGGCTCTGAACGGTAGATCTAACAATACTGATTTAACGGGCTCTGAACGGTAGATCTAACAATACTGATTTAACGGGCTCTGAACGATAGATCTAACAATACTGATTTAACGGGCTCTGAACGATAGATCTAACAATACTGATTTAACGGGCTCTGAACGATAGATCTAACAATACTGATTTAACGGGCTCTGAACGATAGATCTAACAATACTGATTTAACGGGCTCTGAACGATAGATCTAACAATACTGATTTAACGGGCTTGCTCTCCGAACAACAGTTATTCTACGTCCATTTATTTCAAACAACATGATTGTGATAAAAGTTACTTATCTTTTATTAAGCTAAAACCAAAATCCAAACAAGGTTTCACCGATAAAAGAAAATTTCTACAGAACCTTTTTAATTAGCTACAATGTTATGTTTCCTGTTCAAACAGTCATGGTGAATCGTATCGTAGGCCTTTCCGTTCAGCACCGTGTTTCCTCAAATTAAAGACTGAAAAAGTTGCATTTTGCTCTGGATATCTGTTCAGTCCGTCCGTCCACAACACACAGTGACCAATCCTTTTTTTTTCTTTTTACTTATTTCATATGTATGTGTTTATTTTTATCTGACTTTTAGATTAATTGTTATGTACCTTCAGTCACACCACGCGAATTAGACACGTGGTCGGCTCGTGCAAGGTTCATTTTAAATGAGATTAACTTAGTCATTAAACTTCAGCGTAAGTAATCTCATTCATTTTGATAATTATTTTTGTTTCTTTCCGCCACCGTTAGGGGGAAAAATGAATGAACTATTGCATTTTTTTTAATCGAGTTTTTATAGCTACGATTTATATAACCGAAACGACTTTATAAGTCCAATAAATACTTGATTTAACACCTTACCAATGTTTCGGTAAGTTTTAAAGAATAACTTCATCAAAGAAATAATCAAACAAAGAATATTTTAACAATACGCTAAAAAAGAAATTATTTGGTTTGTATAGTTTAGTTACTTATTAGGTCTTTTGTGTACGTGAGTGAGCGAGAGAATCGTCATCATTTTAGTCTTAGCTTTTAACAGAATATATTCGAAATCTGTTAAGCGTGGTGTTACGTTACTATAACTCTAATACTCCTGAATATTCAAAACGTATTTAATTAAGCGGAACGAGAATATCATGATTACAGGTGTGGGAACCAAAAACAACATCTGGAAGTCAGTTTATATTATCATTTACCTTGCAAACGGTCTGGGATCCACTAGATAGGTATCTGTAAGAGGCTGAAACCGGACGGGCACAGTCAAAGGACAGTGGTCCTCAGTAATAAGGCCTTGTTGGTAGTTCATGCTGTCATTCATTTCAGGCCGCTGACCTACCGCCAACATCTGCAAAGAAAGTAATTCACTGTATTCTATCTCACATTGCAAACAATGCTCCCTTCCTCAAGCTGCCCCGAGGAGGTCATGTCTAATTACACAATTATTTGCTTCAGGAAAATACCAGCACTACCACCACGACGTCAGGTTCTTACCCTCTAAACTACTCGGAAAGAAAGAACTTCCAACAGCTCTTCAACATATGTTGTAGCACACAAGTGTTTAAAGTTACATAAACACACACACACACACTATATATATATATATATAATATACACAAACACAATTTTTTTTTTAATATTTCTTAGACGCCATTCAGGTAGATTCTCGCAGGATTTTTTTTAATATAACCTTTGTAACTTTGATAACAGTATAATCAGGCCAAATCTAAAATTAGATTATTGGATGGAATTAACTTTGGAAAACAATATTTTGGGGGCCTATCCCCCCCCCCCTTCCCATACACACCCGCTAGCGCCAGCCCTCAATCTAATCAATAGCTTTGGAACACAGTTTCAACTGTTACCTGAAAGGAGGAAAAAAAACAAAAAACGATAAGATACTTTAATAATCTTAACGGTACTCGTACATACTAAGATATAACAATTACAATATAACCACTTATTAGTAATTCACTAAACCTCTTATTAAAAAAACGATAAAAAGAGATAAATTACTAATTATCATAGTGATACCATTTTTAACGTCAGCTATTGGAAATATGTAAAGCTTGTAGCAAAACACAAAAGCCTGCTTTTTATCAGTTGTAATATCACTATTAACACGAACAGGGCTGTCTGACCCTGTTTATTAGCAGCAACCGTTTCAAACGATCTGTTATATTATGTAAAACTATTCAAACTAAGAATTGTAACCAAGGTAATTTCGATTATATAATCATTTCACTTTAAAATTCAATATCAGTATTCTGGTCAATAATTGTTTGAATGTTGCCTGCAAGAATGCCATACGACAGATGGCTTTATAAGAATTATGTCAGATATATTTTCAGTCCACACTGAAGGGAGCTTTTAACAGCTGTTGGAAGCTTATACTCTGCGCTGCTGCTAATCGTTTCCCTATCTCTTCCTTTCGAAGCACTTTTACATACAGAAGAATTACGCAACTGCTAGCGCCATTAAGCAGGCGTCAGTATTCCAACCACCCGATAAACATAATTAAAATTTCAAAATATTTCACAATGATCAACATGAAGATCTCGCATTGGAGATAAATGAAAGTGGGTGTACTTTGGCTTACACTCAAGAAACTTCAAGAAGCGCGTCTTTCCTACGACGATTTACTACAATTTGTTTACAGGAACTAAATCTCTGATTTTAACCCCAAATAGTCACCCACCTCGTGATTAAACCACTATATACCTAGTAAATAAAAATAAAATAAATCATTTTAAAACGTAAATTTTCATCTGTATATCGCTTCTTCGATAATGTTGGTGAGGACACAGAATTGGAGCTTACCGAGTTTGATGTACGAACACTTTTTGAAGTTCGAAATGAAACATCCACAAAGTGTCCACAATAAAACACCTTCTAAAGTGCCCCTCAACAAAACATCCAGTGTCCACAATGAAACATACAAAACAGCCCCCGACGAAACACCCACAGTGTCCAAGATGAAATATCCAAAACATCTACAAGGAAACACCCATCAAAGTGCCCCTCAACGAAACATCCACAGTGTCCACGATGAAATATCCAAAACAGTCCATGACCAAACATCTACAAGGAAACATCCATCAAAGTGCCCCCGACGAAACACCCACAGTGTCCACGATGAAATATCCAAAACAGTCCATGACCAAACATCTACAAGGAAACATCCATCAAAGTGCCCCTCAACGAAACATCCACAGTGTCCACGATGAAATATCCAAAACAGTCCATGACCAAACATCTACAAGGAAACATCCATCAAAGTGCCCACAATGAAACATTCACAAGAGCCTAAGACCAAACGTCCACAAAGTATTCATGCAATTAACTCCGAATTACATCGACTGAAACTCCAGACTAGTTGGAAAACTAAAATGGATATCCATCTCTACAACAAGGTTTTCTTTATATAATCTTAAAACTTGTTTTAACCTCGGTACCTATTTCAGTACTTTTTGATTCGCTGTGTCTCCCATAGTCAAGGAAAGAGGTTAATGATATGCCTGGGCGACGCAAACTTGTCCAAGCTGTTCGCCCCGGTGACTCAGCTAAAACTCGGGTTTCGATACCCGCGGCGGGCACAGCACATTGTGTATCATTAAGCTTAAGAATAAAAACAAACAAAACGAAGCCGTTCGAAATGTGTGCTGTTTTTTTTATATCATGACACGTCACAAAACAACAACTTCCACACGTTCTCGTACGATTAATGACCTCACAACCAACTATCGTAAAGAAAGAAAAAGTTAGGGTAACACAAACATGACGTGGAAAAGTAATAATAAAAACCATATAACCCGAGTCCTTTCAAAAGGTGAACCTTTCTTCTTCAGGGGCATGGTCCACCTTTCGAAAGCACTCTGGTTATAGGGCTTTTATCATTTTGTATCAAGACTTCTTGAACCTACGTGTTTTTATCACATTTTTGTATCAAGACTTCTTGAACCTACGTGTTTTTATCACATTATAAAAGTAATGGTTAAATTTGCAAAGGGTGTACGCCACCACAATATTTGTACCATCTTGTATTTAAAACTAAATGAATAAATACATGATGGTGTAACGGTAAATTCGTAATCAGTTGCCAACAACAACAAAAAAACACACAATGTATAAAAAGTGGGGTACTAAAGAATTATCAGGTGTCTTGCTAAATTCTTATCATTATTTCGAAATAACGCTATTTTTATTGAAAGCTCGATAAAGTATATGCAGTTGGCTCATGACATCTTTCATAAACTCCAAAGTTCAAATTAAGTCATTTTAAGATAACGTTTATAAATTCAGCACAACGCCCAAGTTCACGTAATTTTTATGGTACGCAAAAAGAAACAATTTTTCATATGTTGTTGAGAAGTTTTAGAATTTACAAAACTGAAACTTCTGTTTGATAACTCTGGTGAAAACCGATTCATATTTATGGACTTTTTTTAATTATTTTAACTCGCTCTTTAGTAGCCTAAGTTAATTTAGGTATGTGAATAATATCGTGGTGTTACGCCACGTTTAAATGGAGACTTAAAAACTCCATAAATATTATATATACATCACCATTATACGAGGCCTTCCCGTATTTCTTTGGTTGCTTGATCTAAGGTGCTCTGAAGAGCCTTGAATAGGCGAAACTGCTGTCAACAGCAGAGGGTACAGCAAAACAAATACATTACACATCTACGTAAGAAATTACATTTTCAATTTTACCTTTGATGAAAATAAAATAAACCAGAAAACCAAATCAGAAATAGTTTTATTATTCTAACCAAACTTTCTGAGCCTATATAGCTTTCAAACTCAAGCCATTATGATTTGTCACAATCACACACAAGCTTCTACGTTGAAATTTATTTAAATAAGTCAAGAAATGAAAATGATTTTGATTTATTTAAAATACTTAACTAATATCAACTTCCGATTAAAGCAAGTTACCTACGTGTAACAGAATGAAAAATATGCTCGTAGTAATGGGCATAGCCAATTAAATATAATTTCAAATCATATTACTTGCAATAATTAGAATACATTGTTTCACCACTTGGCTACCCTCGTTGTTTTACTTTCAGTTTTAGTGTTAACTTCACGATCATATCTTACCCCTAATGAGTCCTATAAATTTAGTACAGAATAATGTATATACAAATAAGCTGCACATTACATAAACCACAAACTCTTTACTTTGTAAACTTACGGCAAGCGTACTTATTATAGAGTATGATATAATTATAAGCAATAATTGGTCTGGGTCATACTATTAGTATTAAAACTAATCATCTCTATATAAACGATGCTTTGTTGAGTTGTGTTTGTGTGTTGTTAGAGAATAAATATTCAGTCTGATTAAATAAAGAAATGAAATTCATACAATTTATCTAATAAAAATGATCACACACTTACACGCACACTTTGTAGTTTACTAGTTGTAAAAACCAAGGGGAAATCCTTTGATGCTAGCCGAGAGTTCACAATTTTGTCCAAACTTGGCTGGGGTGTAAACCAAAGCCGTTGTCTTCGGTTGCTCGAAGTTAACTGAACACGAAAGAACAAAATAGGTTGAAATAATATTGAAGCACGTCTAACATAACAAACTCGTCTATAATTTAAAGCTGTCAAGTCATGTTATTCATTTGTTAAGATAAAACAGAAGAAAAATACTTCCCCCCCAGCTCACTAAACTACTTTCAACCAACGGCTGATAACATACTACCATACAAATCACTGCAGCATGAACTGTCTACTCGTAGTACAACGAACCTTTACTCCCATTGGTTGGTCTATGTATTGGTTTTCCTGCCATCTAGTGTTAGTAGTTTAAGTTACTTCAATATCGAAAGCCAAAGGCTTCTTGTATAAAATCGTACTTTATTAAAAATAAATAATAATATATAATTGTTTACGAAATAGAGTAAATATACTAGTTAATTCTCCAGTCATATAAAATATTTTCACAACTCAGTTTATAATAAAAGCTTTTTTATAACAGTTAATGAACTGTTATTTTTGTAAACATTTTAGAGGTATGTTGTTTGCAAGATTACTCTGTTTATGGTCGTGCTGATGACGTAGTGAAGTGCGTCAAAGAAGGCTTTGTAGGAATTCAGATTTTAATCCTCGGTAATCAGAAAATCGTCCTTCGCCCTTTTATTAATTTACTAGTGTTTAAATATGTTATAACCCAATGCCGGATTATTCCAGCCTATGAAAGACGGGGGTTGAGATTGGGATAAAGCAAAATAATAATAAAAACTTTGGCAAATAATTTTTGTTTTAACTTTTCCTAATTCATGATTGTAATAATATTTTGTTAATCGTAGGGCGTTTGTTCGAATAACGGTGTAGTTTTAAAACTATTATTTTTATTAACTTTTTGGTGTTATGTTGTTTCTAAGATCGAAATATATATGAAAACTGAAGGCGTACGGAAATGTATCAAAGAAGATTTGATTTGTTTGTTTGTTTTTAAATCTCGCGCAAAGCTACACGAGGGCTATCTGCGCTAGCCGTCCCTAAT